AAAAGTCAAGTCCCAGAAGGGAAACTTGACGAACACACAAGGTGCTCAAAGTAACCATATTGGTGTATTACAGGAAAGGGTCCCGTACCCTTGAGAGAGCGCACTTAAAAAGCAAAAATCAATTTAGAATTGATGGGGCCAAAGCCAAAAACGTGTTACATCCAACCTAAGGCTAGAAACACAGAATTAATTAATTGCAAGAACTTGACATAAGTCAAAGTCTTAATAACATGACATTATGACCAGTGACATAGGACACAGAATTAAAGCAAACAATGGGATGAATGTGAATTCCACTAGAGATAGTACAGTTAACAATACTCAATCAGAAATGACAATGAGAAGATTTGAAAGGGAGAGGGAGGAGGAACATTCCAACAAGATGGTTAGTCGCAAATCTGAAATTAAATGAATGATGATAATTGAAAGAGACCAAAGCAGGTGCCAAACAACATAAAACTAAATTTGGTTATTGGTAAAATCTAAGGAATTGAAAAATTTCACACAGTCATAGTTGACCTGTTCATTAAGGGATGTGACCAAATTATTGTTCAAAGCAGAATTTATTTCAAAAATTTCCAGCAAATTCAATAAAGTACCTTTCTGACAAACATGTAATATTTTTAAATCTTGATTCATGTCAAAATTGTGTTCAGAATTTAGTATGTGGTTAGCAAAAGAACTCTTAGTGTTATACTCATCTAAAATCGGAGGGGAGGTTTTGGATTTTTCTATGGTTTTTACATGTTCCAAGACTCTAGTTGAAATCCTTCTACCGCTTTGGCCAACATACTGTGCGTTGCAATCAGAACAAGAAATGCTATAGACACCAGATTTGTGATTCAAAGGAACTTTGTCTTTTGTATTAACTAAGATTTTTGAAATATTGTCAATAGTGTAAAAAGAAATATTTATATTATCCATAAAACGATGAAAAATATTTTTAATATCAATGGAGACTTTACCCAAGAACGGAATTGAGGCAAAACGGTTCCTACACTGAGGGAAAAAAATTGTAGCCGTTACTAAAAAATTAGTAACTACAGAAAATTTTTTTAGTACGATAGGGGACAGCAAGCATTAGTTGTTGCCATAACTAATTCTGTTTTTCTGGAAACGCCTATTTGCCTCAAATGAAAAGTTTAGTTGAGTCATCTACGACGTTGTTGTGGTAACTAATAAGCCTTTTTAATGAATAATACCAAGTTTTATTTGCCACAATCAAGATACATAGTTATGACAATTAGATTGTTAGTACCTTAGTACTGTTTCAATATATGTTTGTTATCACAACAAATTATCCCAGTTGGGGCAATTACTCATTTCTTCTGACGTTAATAGTGAGTGTGTTGTTGCAAATTAAATATTTAATTGTGACTGAAATGGAATCAAGTTACTATTAAAAGTGATTTAGTAACGTTTGAAATATAATCTAGTTATTCTGGCAACTTAATAGTTTTATATCAATTAAAATCAAGGCCCCATTCTAATAATAACAGTTTGTATGCCATTTTCCTTCCAATTTCCAATGGAATCGTGAACAGGAATACACCACACAATTATAAATATACACCGTGTACACGTGACGTCGGTTGGACGTTTCTCACCGTCGCCCGTCGTAAACTGAACTGAATTGTGAATAGTTACCTAACCTAAACCTGATAACTAGTGACGCACAGATAACGATGGTAAACTGCGAATTATTATTTTGCCAACCAAATGCCAAATGGCTCAGCGCGAAGTGCAAAAAAACACAAAACAGTGATTTGAAAACACACAGAGCAGTGAACCAGCAATAACACGACGCTCCCGGCTACACTAGACAATTATTTCATTTATTTTGTCTAAGCTCGACGACCGTGCGATCTATCCACTATTAAGATACAAGTTCAAATGATGAAACAGAAAGACAAACAGATGCAAGATGCAATTTTTGCCGGTGGGTCCCGAAGAGACGCGAGGCGGTCCCGAACGACGCAGTACAACTAAAATTATAAGTTATGGCTAAACAATTTCTGCTATGAATAATAATAAACCTTTTACGATAAATGTGTCATCAGTTGTGGCAAATAGTCAGCTGTTGTTAGTAACCCCACAATGAGGTTTTTTAACCCCACTATGAAATTTTAATTGACTGAATAGACAACACTGTGATAATTCTGTCACAAATAGTATTTTTATTGATGACAAATAATTGGCGAAAAATAGAAAAGTCATTTGTAGGAAATAAGGATACGTTGTCATTGTTAATAAAATTCCAAATATTTTTAATTATCGGTACTAAAAAAATACCAACTAGACGTTTTAATTAACCAGTTTTTCTCAGTGTAGGGTTATCCAAGGGCAATAAACTTCTATTAATAGATTTGTTGAGGTGTTTGTTGTATATTCTATTGATGACATGAGAAGGGAAACCATTGTTATGACCAATCTGTTTGATAATGTTCAATTCATTATTAAAAGCAACCGGACTCATAGGAATGTTGAACAATCTATGGAACAAAGAATTAAATGCAGCAAATTTATGTTGATTAGGGTGGCAAGAAGAGAAAGGAATGACTGAATCTGTGTGTGTAGGTTTACGGTAAATGGAAAAGTTGAAATGACCATTGTCCATGTTGATAAGCAAGTCCAAAAAGAGAAGTGAATTGTTCACTGCAACCTCCATAGTAAACTTACATTTAAAACAGTTGCGACAAAGAATCATTAGCGTATGTCGCGAAGTGACACCCCAAATGCTCCAAAATGTACGACAACGGTTTGAAAATACTTTATACCACTGTATGCAGGTTGACGGACAGCAATTCGAACATTTACTTGACTCAGCTTGACTGATAAATGAGTTCTGAAGTACAATTGAGCCGATTTTCGTATTTTTCGTCCCACATGATGATTGGAGTTTCAACGGTCCATATTTTCTTAAAGAGTAGATCGATTTGAAAAATCTAAGTAACACTGTATAGGGAATGACAAGCCCCTTCTAAAGAGGTACCGCTTGACCACCCTTCCCATTTGAAAAAAATGTTGGAGTTTTGCTTATTGTTACGTCAAATTGTGTCCCCCTGACAAACAAACTTGACCTGTTTTCGGATTTTATCGAAAAGTTCTTTCCCAGCATTTATATTTTATAGGAACGAGGAGAGAAAATCCCAAATAATCAACTGAAATGAATATTGGTATAATTTCAATATGGTGCCACAACAAAGGGACAAATAGTATCAAAAGGAGGAGGTGTCCCTAGCCTATTGTGCAGATTTACAAAAAACATATCAGCCAAATACTTTATGGAGTAAGTACCTACCTACTCTATCTTAAGAACAATAAAGTGTTCTTGAAGTTGAGATAAACTTGAATTTGAGTCAATATTTCGAGCTAGCATCCCTTTTGAAGGAGCAAAATGTGGGTTACAGACCAAAATAGGTCAAACTCTTCACAAAAGGGAAGTTTCCAGATTTATGGAAGAGACACTTTACTAAAAATGCAATTGGCAGGAACTGGTGGAGTGTTTCCCCACTGAGTGTATATTTACCTCTGTTTAACACACGAGAGGAAGAAAGAAACATATACATTGAGTGCAGAAACACCACTAGTTCCTGCCAATGGAATTCGCTATAAAAGTCATCAAAATTTTTTGGTTGGCCAGTGCTTTTTTATTTTCGTTGATACATAATACCTTTAAAACTCGTAGGAAAATTGGTGTTCCTAACACGTGCGCAAAGTGCCTTTTCCGAACGCAGAAACTGATACGAACTCCGCTTCGCGTCGTTCGCCTACCTGTTTTTACGTGCGGAAAATGAGTAGCACTTTGCGCACTTGTTAGGAGAATAAAATAGTTTTGGTACGTGGTATTACTATGATACTTATGACAGTGAAATTAATTATTTCTATTAGTCCAAGCACACGTGCTTTCGCACAATGTTGCCAAGACTATTAACGAACAAACATTTGTAAAAATAACGATTTTGCCAAATTTGATGATACGTGGTATTGCCACTTAGCCATCGACATCGAATCGGTGAAAAATATACTATTTTCAAAAATGGCTCTGCTGAGTTCGCCTATGGTTCGCCTGAAGCTGCTTGGCAAAGCCACTTTGAAAAATGTGCAGCAAAAAATTCGAAAATGTCTGTCTGTCTCATGAAATCGTTATAGAATATAACTTTCCACAAATCCTTAAACAGCAGGACGTTTTCAATAATTTTTTTTCTCAATAGTTTATGAAATTATAATTCAATTCTGACGTTCATAAAATGCATTTTATGAAAAAGCGCGGGACGACTATGGTGCTCTGGTCACAATACAAGTTGTGTAACAATAAAACTAAACATTAAAAAACTCGAACAGTTGTTATTTCTGTGTCCGCGAACTCTTATCTAACTGATACCATCCAGTGACTCTAGTTTCAGCTATCTTAGGTAGATATATTAAAACGTAGACGTATAAAAAATATTCACCCTCCCCGGTAGCAAATCTATTCCATAGAAAGCAAGGATTGTTAAAGTCTTCACACTGCATATCATTTTCAGTTTTTGTTCATTTTTTCTTCGCTGTATTGATAATTATTGGATAATCATATGAAGAATCACATAGTTGTAAACTTTAGGACTTTGTCCTGTGTTCCATGTCTTCATAAATAGACATACAAATAAATAAATAAAAGACTTTTCTGGATATTGATAAGTTATTTTGGTCATATATCTACTATATAAGTCGATAAATTAATCAATATCTAAAAAGGAGCACATAAACAAAGTGTTGCATAACGATAGATGAATAGCGAGGATGAATAGGTAATCAAGGGAATAATAATCGAAAGATAAACTTGTTCGTTGCTCGTTAAAAATTCGAATGAAAACTGGTTTCCTTTTTTATTACTTATTCATGATTGATATAGATATTAGGTAATATTTTTATATAGGGATATCAACGCGGCAAGACCTTATCAAGTATAAAAACAGACGTGCTCATGGCCAGAGTGGATTGTTTTGGCCGGCGTCACTATGAAACTACCAGTTTTCGTGGTGTTCCTCTTCATCGGGTACAGCACCCTTCAAGCTAGTGGCGAGGATGGCAAAACTTTGCAGTTTGTTCATGTCGTGAGTACCTGCATATGTCTTAATTTGTCACAATTTTCTTGAGTTCGCGTGAGTACCTAGTTCAACCATCAGTAGCGTAACAAAGAGGACAACACAAGACAAAAAGCGTATGATATAATCAAAATCAATTTCATAATCATTATAACAGTTCATGGGATATTCAACCTCATCCGTTTTTGGCGTATCGGCCATGTGTCGTTCAAGACTTTTCGTAATCGTGGATAAACAACTAAGAACGGCTGTCATCATATCTATCATTGTTCCAACTTTGATACCCAGCAAGCACAAACATCCCTGGGATGTTTTGGGATGTTTTGAAAATGTTGACATGAAGATGTTATACATATCTTGTTAGTCCTAGTCCAAAACGTGTTTTTACTTTTTTACTCTTTTACTTTTTTTAAATATTATATTTCACCATTTTTTATTGCCTATATTGCATATCTGTACTTACAACTAGTATAAGGACCTGTCTCATGTTATGTAAATAATCAAAAAAGACCAATAAAAGTATCTATCTATCTATCTATTTTGAGACGTAATATGCACTGACCAGAGAGGTCTTTGAAGGATATTGAAGTATTGTTTTTGTTCTTCTGTGGCATTTCTTTGTTTGCCTACTGAGAGGTATTCCTGGGATATTTTGGGATGTTTTAGAAATGTAGGCATGAGGCTGTTTTTTTGAGTCGTAAAATATGCACTTCCCAAAGAGGTCTTAGAAGGATATTGAAAGTATTGTTTTTGTTCTTTTGTGCCCTTTCTTTGTTTGCCCCACCACAACGTCTCATGCTTACGTCACAATACGATGAATTCTGATTTGTTTTCGATTTTGTTCTTCTTGTTCGCAATTGGCATTCGCGTTTGCACGCGTTGTCACGCTCACATCACGCTGCTAACGAACAGAAAGGAATTTTGTGAAGTTTATTGTGTTAGAAGACCTATTTAGTTTGTAATAATGACCATCAGATGCAAGATGTGTTGTTCGGTGCCTCAGTGTAATCAATATTTAAAAGTACGAATTTATCAATTCACAGCTTCTCCGCAGTTGCAAAATTAATTATGCATTGTGGAGAACATTTCAAAAATTGGGAAACTTATTTCCTATTTCCAATTATATGTCTGTGTGTAGTAAGCAATACTCAGAAACCGAATAAGAAGGTAATTTCATATCAAGAAAATATTTTTATGTTCAATCTATTTTCAATGCATTTTTTCATTCAAGGGAAATGGAATCCTAATGCAAATAGTTATTTTTGTATCTAGAGCGCGAAATGCAACTTTGGTGATCGAGATGATTTTTTTTACGAGGCGTAGCCGAGTTAAAAAAATAGTCGAGATGACCAAAGTATTTCGTGCTCGAGTTGCAAACAATTTTTTTTCTACAAACGTCAAAATATATAGTTCTTAAGTAAAAATATGCCTAGCTTGATATAGAAAAAAGTGTTCAACTGGATTAAAAAGCCTCCCACTATCCTTCCTCGGTACGCACGATGTTCCACGAGCATAATAGGGATTTTCTTTCGTGCGATCCAAGAGATAAAACAAAGCTATTGGTGAACATTCAGAAATGAATGATTTCGTGAATGTTTGCTCGATTGGGGACCATAAAGTTGAAATATAAATATCTCATATATTTTACATAACAGTGCGCGAAGTAGGTACTTCGCGCATTGTTATGTGCAAGGTATCATGGTAACGTAGGAAACTGAAAAAAGGTGTCACTTCGCAATTTGTTATCAGTGCGCGAATCTTGTCATTTTTTGACGTTTGTAGAAAAAGTTCATTTTGACAAAAGGCTTCAGAAAAGTACATCGAAAATGGTTTTTTACAGCGATTTAATGTGCGCAAGACGCGTTGAAAATGTTTTGTTGTGTCCATGAAAAGGCTTTAAAAAGAACTAGGGAGAAGGTAGTTTTGTGACATATCAAGGACATCTCGATAATTGCCGTCTGCGGCGGACATAGGCTGTTATTCTATAATAGTTCTATTCATGTGTGAACAAAACATCGCAGTGGAGGTTCAATATCTCGAAATCTCGTACTTTTAACATCTCTGAGATGTTTTTGTGCTCGCTGGGTAGTTAATATCTTCCGTTGGCGAAAAGCTATCATGTTGCGGTTTTCGTTGATCTGTTGAGATTTACTTTCTCTATTACATCGTGTCAAACTTGTATCATTATTCGTTGCTGAGATATGGCCGACAGCCGTTCTTATACAGAGTGTATTTCCGGGAACTGCATCGATCAATATACAGGGTGTTTGGTTCACCGACGTATATCTGAAAGGAGGTGATAGGTGGGATGATTTTGAACATATTTAACCATAAACACTATTATACAAAGTGTTCCGCTCTTTGAAATATCATCGATTCTCAGAATTTGCTCGAATTTGATGAATAGGTGAGTTATAATAAAAGTTTTGTCAAACATTTTATCTCATTGAATATTTCTCTCCTGTAAAGTAGAGTCTCCAGTTGATCGATGTGAAGCAGTCAATGTGATCTACATGTAATTTCAAAAAAATTGTGGCTCATTTGAATTCACGTAACGAGTTACTGTGATACCCAACTTTGACCTCAGAAGCCAAATAAGTCTAAATAAAACGTTCGTTCGAACATCGTCAAAAACTTCCTTTATCTTCGTCCTGTTTATCAATATATTATAGTCCATCACTACATGCCATTTCTTTTATTCCGAGTGTGGTTTATCGATGAGGTGCAGTTCTCATAATTTGATTCTCGTTATAATTCGAACATGTTCCTAAATAATAGGATAGCTACATTGTTGCTACGCGTCAGACAAACTTGTTGATCAAAATTTTTTCAGTTGTCAATCATTGTAAACTACTTACCAGATGAAGTGGGACAGCCAAAAAATTGACTAATTTTGATAAGCTATAACTCGAATATTTCTTGGCCGATGTTGGATTTCCAACCGAAGAAGAAAGCGTCATCTTTGGGCTACGCGTCATCGGCGTCGGCTTTTTATTTTTGCTATTCCTTCTCTTTGTACAGAGTGTGAATTAAGAGCCGGAAAAATTTCGAATTTTTGACCAATAATTTGGGAAATGTGACCCTAGAATTCTTTTTCAGATGTTGGGTGAATGATGGTTGGTCCGATACCTCGGGACGTCTTTGAAATTTTTTTGATAAATGACGTTGCTATGGTAAAATCGCCATTTTATGAAATTCCATTTTTATTTTAAAATGTGGCCTTTCTTAGTTGAACAATGACAGCTAACATCTGAACTGCAATAAGGGATATTTCTACTGAAGATAATTAACACCAGTGGCGCGCAAAAAGGGGTTGAAGAGGTGTCATACCCTCAATTAGCATGATATTGACAAATTCAGAGGCGTGCCGAAAGGGGGCTTATGATATTTAGAAAATTAAAAAAAGTTTTTATTGAAATAGAAACAACCCAGACAGCACCAGATATTCCATGAATCTCCCTATCATATTCCTTTTGGAATATTGGAATATTCTAGAAATAATCTGGAATATTCCGGAATATCTGTGGAATATTCTCTAAATATGCGAATGGGAATTCCTCAGATAATCATAGAATATACCCAAAAGAATATTCTATGTTGAATGTTCCTGGAATATTCCAATAAACATATTCTAAAATAAAAAAAAGTGACCCAAGTAGGGATCGAACTCGTGACCTCAAGACTATCAGAGTGTAACGGGACAATCAGGTTCCACGTCCTTCCGTTTCGTATCGCAGCCATTATATTCGCTATTTTTGATAGATAATAAATATAAATTCCTTTAGCCGTGTACATTTTGTTGTTGGGTAGGTACTCTGTCTACTAAATAATTGTTCAAAATTGTTTTGCTATTAGTTATAAGCATTTCAGCTATAATCCTAATTTATTTGAGCATCATTGCGCCATCTACCAACGAGCCAATAAACTGCAAGTTCATCCATGTTGGGGAGATGGTAGAAATCTATCAGTTGTTTTTGTTGGTGATATACCCTACGGACAGGGGGCTCTACAGGTATGATTTTTCGATGAATTGTTTTTTGCGCCATTCCACCACACATTTGATTGTGATAAAAACGAGTGTGGGAGATAAAGTTCTTGAACGAGGCCTTTTTGATAGCAAAACCTGAAGGCAGTCACACCTCTCTTCAAACTGACTCTCTAATAAAACTTTATGGTAGAACCTAAGGGTCTATAACAATTGCGAAAACACTTCGTTTTTGTGACCTGGTCAACTTTACAGGTAGGCGAAATTATGTATTTCTATAAATTTTTCCTCAATTTGAAACTTTTCTCCACGTGGTCATGAGCTTTGATTTTTGGTTAAGTATAATATGATTTTGTCAGACTAGCTATTTAACAATATTATCGACGTACTCCGAATCATTTATTTCTCAAGTAGTTGCAAATGAAAGCATCAAATATGTCCTTAAAAGCATTTATTTTCACAAGTAATTCCAATTCATATAGTGTCTTCTTATTTCAACAATGTTTGTATAAACTATATATATGTCATGGTCAACTTTACAGTTTTAGTGAGACAGAGGATCGCCCTGTATAGATGGCAATTTAATAACATTCAATAAAAATACTGAGTGGCTTGCGTAATCCTGTATTATTTCCACGGCCTATGGTTACCAACACGGCCAGAACCCCCATAAAAAACCCCTGAGAAAATTGTATCATAGCAACTTGGCGACCAGCACGTGAGGCCGTGTTCCAATAGGATCAGTGGGAGTCACAGGATGCAGCATACTCCATCCAATTATGATCTTAGACCAAGGAGACCTCTAAATTATGAGAGATTGAACCAAGGTTTGCCACAGCAAAATTGTGAAGAAGTAGTGACGAACAATGAAGATGAAAATCAAGGTAGGACCTTTCCAGTTACTAGTAATCCTGCAATGAGTGGTTCTTCAACTTGTCAACCCCCTGAGACGGGTTCTTTGGGTGCAGTGCCCAAGGTTACTGGTTATAGGAACCGCACTCCCATCACAGAGGCGTTTCGTAGG